CTTGGCCTGTGCCCAGAACAATGAAGCGCTGATCCGCACTGTAACCTTTTAGTATAACAAAAACAGTAATGATGATGATGAGTGTTTCTTCTCTGTTCTGCCCTGCTTGAGTCTGGTCTTCCCTTGCTGGGACAAACCAGCACCCACATAGCAAAGCAAGTGAAACTCGAGATGCCTCATTCTCTCTTCTCTGCAGTTTCTTGTGTTTGACAATCAGCAAGACCAATTAGATGCACATGTCTAAGATCCCCCATGCCAAATTGTACCCACCCACCCCCTGCCCGTATTTGCAAAAAGGCCAAAGAAACAATGGACTGTTCTTTACAAGAAAAGGTAACAGCTATTCATTTTATTTATGTCTGTAACTCTTCTCAGTTAATAAATTTTAGTTTGCTTATGACCTTTCCTTTTTCACTCTTTTTTTTTCTTTCCCCCTCTTCTTCATCCCTGAGCATCTTTTCCATAGTGATTGCTGTTCTTCTATCCTTTGTTCTGTGCAGCACTCCAATCGTGTGCCCAAATATACACAATGAACAACAATGAGTATCTTGGCACCTTAAAGACTAACAGATTTACTGGGGCATAAGCTGTCATGGACTAGAGCCCACTTAGTCAGATGCATCCTCAGTTGGCAGATACAAGGAGCTGATGAATTGGAGCTCATTAGTACATTTGACTCTGTGGCGTATCTTTTAAATAAGTAGGAATATGAGTCGTTTTCAATAAATACTTGTGCCACAGTACTTATTTATAGAGCTTCTATTCAGTTGAATTACATACAGTTTAACCAATTAATACCCTGACCTAGATAGCCCACGCTAGCTTGATGTTGTCAGATCTTGAAAGCTAAGCAGGGTCAGCCCTGGTTAATATATGGATGAGAGACCAACAAGGAATACCAGGGCTGCTACCCGGAGGCAGGCAATGGCAAACTACCTCTGAATGTCTCTTGCCTTCCATAAATTGGATGCAACTTAACTGCACTTACTATTACCAACCAATTAATAGATTAACCTAACTAAATCTGTAGTACCGTTCCACATCCAGAAGATGACATAAAACCTCTAGGATCGCCAGCCAAACTGGCCTGGAGAAAAAATTGCTTCCTGACCCCAATGTGGCGATCAGCATTTCAGTTGCTATTCCCTCAAGAGCAGGTCTTTCAGAGCTCTCTCAGACCCACCTACCCCACAGGGTGTCTGTTGTGGGGAGAGGAAGGGAAGGAGATTGTAAGCCGCTCTGAGACTCCAAGTGAAGGGCGGGGTATAAATCTAACTCCTCCTCCTATATCCACATTTCTCACTGAAACTCAAAGAGGATTACACAGTGTAAATCATTGCAATCTATAGGATGAGACATCAAATAAACTATGTAACAGGACTAGGATTACAGAAATTTGAAACAAAGCATGTATTCAACAAGATATGTTAAACCGGGGATCCCCAATATGATGGCCATGGGTACCACAGTGCCCGCTGACATCTTTCCTGGTGCCCACCAAATGTTTTAGAATCTGGGAGGGGCCAGATGGTATTTTGCCCAACAAGGCTTCTGACTGACCGCTTGATTAGCTGTACAGATTTTTAGAAACACTGCTTTGACAGCAGCTGCCACCACAGCACAAGGATCTTCACTGTATGACTGAAGGTAAGCTGCAGCACCCTTCTCCTCCTGCATCAGCCATTTTGTGGCAGCCATTTTGTAGCTGTGCCCATCATGCTGGGTCAAAATGTCAAAGGTGCTCGCAAGCTCAAAAAGGTTGGGGGGCCCTGTGTTAAATTATGCAGAGAATTGTATTACATAAATAGAAACCTGTGAAAACAAGATAACATCTTCAGCCACCGATACACAATAGTATAGTCCAGTAGCTCTGAAATGAGGTGTACTTTGAAGATGACATGTGCATGTCTTACAGCAGCCACCATCTTAGAAGAAGAATTTCCTCTGTGAAACAATTCAAGATTGTATGCGCATGCAGCAGAACACAAAGTGATAAAGAAAATATATAAGATTTTATTGGATGATGTCATGGCTGATGAAATGGTGAAAAAATATATGATTATGTGGGCCCAGAATATAGGCCATAATATTAATTTTGAAGAGTGGGAGCAGATTTGGCGGAAAAATATAAAACTAACTAATGCTGTGTCATATAAAGAGAACATGTATTAGATGTTTTATAGATGGTATATTACACCAGATAGATTAGCTAAACAAAATGTTAATTGCTCTGATAAATGTTGGAAATGTAAAAATAAGACTGGTTCTTTTTATCACATGTGGTGGTTATGTGATGTTACAAAGAGGTACTGGAGATGTTCATGAGATAATGGAAAAAATAATAAGAACTAATATTCCGTTTACTCCAGAGATACTGTTATTGAATATATTTCCAAAAGACTTTGATAAAGCAGGTATTTGATAGTTCATATGTCGACAGCTGCAAGGATAGTATATGCCAAATATTGGAAAATAATGGAAATACCAATGAAACAAGAGTACGTGAACAAGCTATTTGAAACGGCGGAAAATGACAAACTGACACTTGAGATGAGAGCCGGTACAGAATGGACTTTTCAAAAAACTTGGAAGAGATTCTAAAATTGGTATAATGTAAATGCAACTGATAGATAAATGTAGTAATTTGAGAACACAGAAAAGATAAGCTTAGTAAAATAGATAATGAATTTAGAAATTTAATAAGCAGAAGAAATGATAAAGTCTCTTGTTATATGTTATATGTCGTGGGGGTAGTTGTGGGTTGTTTGTATGTATGTCTGTATGTCTGTAGTATATAATGGGAAAATAATAATAAAAGTGTACCCTCGGGTACTTATAGACGGTATATAAAAAAGATAGTATGTGCATGTACAATGTAGACATCTGTATTTATGGCACACATCAAGAGTCTGTCACAGCAGTCTTCTAATGTTGGTACAGTCTGAGTTCGCTATTAAAAGAGGGCCCTGGTGTACAAAGAGATAACCTGACTGGAAAATAAGGAATAAGCAGTTTCCTACCATGTTGATAAACATGCTGAGAGGGCTTCATTCATTAATAACTGACACATAAAGGTACGAAACAGCATCATGCCATAGTTCAAAATGGAGTGTCACAAGCAATAGTTAAGTAAACAATGTGTGAGATAGAGAGTTCTACTATGGTTTGAACAATCTTCTGGGTGTGTGCTTTGAATGCCAGGCAAAGCTGAAACAAAGCATACTTCCAGGAGCTCAGAATCCTATAAGAAATTTTGGTACGAACCACCAGCCTGTTCCCCCTTCCCCATTTGTCCTGTTTCCATCTCTCGTAGACAAGACATATGGGGAGGGGGTAGAAATAAGCTGCACTGATGAACCAATAGAATTAGGTTTTTCCTTCTCCAGCTCTTGCTCTTCCCCTGGGTGGTGAAAGGCATGATAGGAGTCAGCTGTTTGTGTTTGGATTGGCTTCAGAACTAGCAGCTGCCACTAGTGGTTCCAGTTCTGCATTGGGCCGTGCCTCATGTATCTCATTTTTTTTGCAGAAGACCAGAGAAATTATTATTGCCTTTTTGTTCTCTAGTGTCCATATTCTGTTTAAGATGAAAGCAACTGGCAGCCTTTCGGTATAATGAGACCTTCAAGGATGGAACTCCAACTATGCTGCACCCCACTACATCTTGTAGAAGATGGTCTTGTTGCATCATTGGTGGGATGGGGGGATAAAAATGCAGAACAAGTGAACTTGTACTGAGAACGGGATGTGGAACGTGGGCACAGAGACATGGTGTAGTACAGAGGCTAAGAATACCAGTTCCCAATCAGGGGTAAACTGGATGCAGATAGAAAGAGGCCACTGCCTGCCTTGTCCCACCACTTTTTGCAGATTCATCAACCACCCGCCCACCCAGTCTAGTAGAGTGAGCTGAAGTTGATTTGCCCTTTGGAGCCAGGCAGAATTTTTTTAATCTCATGAATCATATTAGCATTGATTCAGGTGTGTGTGTGTGTGTGTTTGTCACCTACTACACTCTACAGGTCAAAGGAGGGATTTGCCAGGTCCTTGTTATGTGTCAGGGACACTGGTAGAATTCCTTGGTCACAACTGGCAACAGCAGTGTGAGTAAAACAGTTTACCTAAAAGCATGAAACTTGGTGACCGCCCTTAGGCATCCATGTAGAGGTGAAGAGGATGTTCCTCAGACCAGAATCTCAGGGCTAATGTGGCATGGGACCTGGAACGGGACATCCCTTTGGGGCTGTTAATGATTCAGCACCCAAAGACCTAATGGCTAGGGAGAAAGGATCTGGCACTTTCCTCAACTATATGATTAGTGCTTGGCAAAGAGGAAGCTCAGAGGTTGTACTTACCCAGACAGTCAGGGATGCTTATTTAGAGGAGGCTTAACTCCTCTGCAACCTGTTGAGTGGTCTATACTACATTAATTTGTGTTATTAATTGCGGCCCATTGCAGACCCTATTGTATTTAATAAAGCTGCAGCTCACTTTGATATCCTGTCCACTTTGATATCCTGGCTGTTTCCATTTCATGTCCACACTGGCAATGAACTTGTGCACATGCAATGAACAAGTGTTCTCATGCAATGCTCTTGGAGGGATGGAGGGAAAATATTCAAGTAGACATGTGCACAGGTAATTGCCATGTGATGTATCTGTGCAGCTGCACACAAGAGAGAGGTTTCTGGGAGTTATCTGTCCAAATAACATTGGTAGGAGAGCCACCAATGGTGGTCTTTGGGTAGATCATGTCTACCTACCAGTAGCCGTGAAAACGAAGGCCGACATATCTAATAATAACACAGCCTCCTCTGCGCCTCACTGGATTCTTGATCCTTAAACTGCGCTAGCCTTCGCGCACACGTGCAAGCCAAGCCACGCTTTCTGGGGTCACTTGTGAAAACTCCCCGACCGCAGGAGCGTGCGTGTGTGAAAAAAACGGAGGGTGGGAGGGATCTCGTATGCTGATAAGAGGGGCTGGCGCGCCGCCACCTTGTCTTTCAAAGCTTCCCCGGCAAGCCGCTGCTCCTTGAGCCGTGCAAGCCGAGCCAATCGGAAACCCGTCCTCTCCTCTCCTCGGCAGAGGCGGCGAGAGAGCCGGCAGCGCTGGGGAAGCGGCCTTTCGTGGCTGCCGCTGCTGCTGCTGCTGCTCTCCCCGTGAGTCCCCGCAGGTCTCTTGTCAGGGGGGCGCCAATCGGAGTGGCGGGCAAAACGCGCGAGGCCCTGCCGCCCGCCAGGGCAGCATGAGGAGGGGCTGTTCGGCTCCTGCAGGCGCTGGAGAAGGAGGAAAGGGGCGCCGCCGCCGCCGAAGAGGACGGCCAGAAGGCGGAAGGAGGCTGCTCACCCGTCGTGCTGCTGCTGCTGCTGCTGTCTGAGGGGACGCGGCTGTTGCTGCTGCCGCCGCCGCCGCCGGCCTTCGCCCCCGCCTCTCTCGTGCTGTGGCTGCTGCTGCTGCTGCTGCCTCCGTCCGCCGCCTGGTCTCTGGGCGCGTGTCTGCCGGCCCGCGAGTCCTGCCTTCCAAGGGGGCCGCCTCCTGCTCTGGCCGCCGCGTTGAGAT